TTGATGCTCACCTGTATGCACGAAGCTACGAGATATTATTTAGTAAAACGGGAAAACAGTTTTAAGATCAAGGAATTGATAGAGGATATGACGAATATTCGGAAGGATATACACTCTTTGTATTTGATCTTACACTCGACCTATCAACTGGTGATTCCCACATTAAACAGGGACATTTACAAATAGAAATACGATTTGGTAGAGCTTTACTTAACACTATAAGTCTTGTTGTCTATGCAAACTTTTAGTCCATTTTAGAAATTTACCAGTCCAGAAACATCATCATTGATATCTAAGAAGCAATGAACACAGTAGAGATTTATTCTATACTATCACATGATTTGTGTAGGAGAAAGAAACGTGGAGGCGTGTTTGCCAGCGATCAGCTACCTAACTATGTAGAAAAACAACTGTATATATGTCAACTTGGATCCAAGTCATAAACCTGAAAGGCACTGGGTCTGGGTCTGCTTTGGAAAAGGAGAATATTTTGATCCCCTTGGCTTGGCTCCACGATCTTACAGCATAAGAACATCAAAAAGAACTGACAAACGTGGACTTACAATAAGAAGTCTGTGCAAGGTTCTTATTCGACAACATGTGGGCAATTTAGTGTATATTATGGGTGTAGACGCGTATCCAAACAGAAATTATTGTCCAAATTTGGATCTAATAAAGATATAAATGATATATTTGTTCATAATTTTGTTACAGAGTGATTTAATGTAACAACACATTTACTAGATATACCTTTTTATGTATATTAAATATCGTAATCCTTAATGTACGAAGAATAATAAATGTTTTAAAATTGAAGATATTGTCAGAGTGATTTGCATTACGTAGGAAGTCCCCCGCTGGGACAGCGGTAAGTCTTCGGATTTACAACGCTATAATCTGGGGTTCCATTCTCCTCGGTGGACACAGCAGATAGGGTTATGTAGAAAAACTATACTTATCTCCAATTATTGTCAATAACTGATATCACGTCATTCCATACTTTACTTAAATATGATTGTGTCACGCCTATGATTATCGTAGTCACGTTCTTTTAAGGTCAATGGGTCGAAGTTGGGTGAAGGTTATGTTTGGTTACTTCCTCCGCCATTCAAAGATTTAATAATACTATTGTTCTCATAGGTAAGTTAAAAAGGTTGACCGAAATAATATGTTATATAATGTGCATAACAAACTGAAAACTACACGTTCGTCTTTCAACAGTGGAATGCTGGAACCTTGATTTTATACCCTTCTATTAAATGGACATCCCCACAATATAAAGACTTTGGAAAGGGTTCGTGATAGATTTCAGTAGATTTTATTCCACCAACCAAGCTGAAACACGATCTTAAGTAGGATTGTTTGTTTTGAATTTCGCGCAAAGCTACACGAGGGCTATCTGCGCTAGCCGTTCCTAATTTAATAGTGTAAGACTAGAGGGAAGGCAGCTAGTCATCACCACCCACCGCCAACTCTTGGACTACTGTTTGCCAATGAATAGTGGAATTGATCATAACATTATAATGCCCACGGCTGAAAGGGCGAGCATGTTTGGTGGGACGGGGTTTCGAACCCGCGACCCGCAGATTGCGAGTCGAGCTCCCTAACCACCTGGCCATGCCGGGCCTATATAGTAGGAATAGAGCATGTTTCTGATTAATGTTGTCTTTGAAATTAATTGGCATTTGCTTTTTTTTAAAGAAGAAACACTACGTTTTGTAAGCATCACATAATGAGACGCTTGGCAAAATTGTATCTATTTGAAATAATTCAAAATTACAATCATTATAACCTTGCGTCTAGTGATTATTAGACAAATCATATTGGTTTAAGTTAATTACTGTACGATATACTTGTTGAGGGTTATGTTAGACGTGTGTTTTAACTTTTTGTAAAATTTATTTCAATATTTTCCCACGTCTTGCAGTCTTTTCCTGCAGTTATGCTAACTCTGCACTCGGTAACAATACATATGTGCTTATCAAAAGTTAAGGTTAAAATACCTGTTTTTCAGAGAGCAGAATGTTGCAAATTGTAGATGTTTTTCTCGAATATATTATTTCTAAGAATAGCAAAATTGTAAATGTATGATAACATACTGTTCTGAGAGTTCTCGGATCCAATGCAAATATAATATATATCAAAAGGATTGTTTGTTTGTTTTGAATTTCACGCAAAGCTACACGAGGGTTATCTGTGCTAGCCGTCCCTAATTTAGCAGTGTAAGACTAGGGGGAAGGCAGCTAATCATCACCACCCACCGCCAACTCTTGGGCTACTCTTTTACCAAAGAATAGTGGGATTGATCCTCAATATATAACGCACCCACGGCTGAAAGGGCGAGCATGTTTGGTGGGACGGTGATTCGAAGCCAAGACCCGCAGATTGCGAGTCGAGCTCCCTAACCACTTGGCCATGCTGGGCCATATCAAAAGGAGCTATCTACAAGTGTTCTTACTTAAGGCGAAAATTTTTATCTAACAAGAAGTTTCACTGTGTTAAAGCTAATGAGTCATTAGTGAATGTAGTTGTTTAATATTCCATGTATTTTGATTAATTATTTTTGATGTATTTCAGTGTTATGTTCTCACTCTTCGAGTGATGTTTAAGAGTTATAGCGATTAAACATAGGTTGAAAGAGTAAAAAAGCATTCTAAAGAAAAGGAATAAAAGTATCAGTGATATATGTATAATCTTTTGTTTCATGAATTTAATATAACAACGATGGATATGTAGTGATAGTCAGCGCAAAATATATTTTTCCATTGTCTTATAATTTTTTCATTCTTAGTGGCAGAACATTTGGTTTGTAAGTGTGAACTTAACCCTTGGGATATTACCTGCTAGTAGTCTTCTAAGTTTTTTTTTTTTGGTTTTTCACGATGTAATTTTTTAAGTAAGTAGAAAGTTTCTTACCAAAGTAATTCAACGTTTGAGGCTTAGGAGGCATTTAAGTGATATAAACTCTGATTTCTTTCGTCATTACAATCTAAGAAGTACCTTAACTGTGAAGCTTATTTTAAATGTTAAAGGTGCTTTAAATGAGAAAATAAAAGGTGGTTTAAATAAATGACAATCTATTCGCTTTGGAACAGAAGAGGAGCGAGAATTGTGAAATATTCCATTACTACCAAAACTAACCTAGTGGTTAACGGATACATAGTCTACAAAAGAAATTCTGATAGAGATCACTCGTCACTTCCAAAATACGGTGTTTAAGTTTGTTTGTTTGAAATTAAGCACAAAGCTGTACAATGGGCTATCTGTGCTCTGCCCACCACGGGTATCGAAACCCGGTTTCTAGCGTTGTAAGTCCGCAGACACACTGCTGTGCCACTGGGGGCGGCCGGTGTTTAAGATAATATTCGGAACGATAAATAGCCAAAATGATATATCAAGGTATTTAACACACAAAAATACGGAAGATTAATTGTCTACCAAGCACAGAAAAAAAGCTTAACTTGTGTCTCAAGTTCACTTGATTAATAAAACTAAGGTTTTATTTTCTGTTTACACGAAAAACAAAATCTTAATCTTCTGAAATGCAGTATTAACAACATATACAAGATTGCTAATGAATTTAACGTTTGTTTGTTTTAGAGCAAAGTTACAATGGGTTATCTGCTGTGTTCACTACTGGGAATCGAATCCCGGATTTTAGTGTTGTAAATCCGTATCTTACCGCTGTACCACCAGTTAATTGATGTTTTATCTACCACATGCTGCAATTTGTACAATACATACATAATGTATTTATAAATTAGCAGTTGGATCAAAACCTCACACTGTAAATGCAAGAAAAAATAACAAATTTCAATGCTAAGTGGGAACATAACATCAATTGACTACTAATTACAACATATAATTAACTAAGTGTTAACTGCATGTACTACTTTCATAGTTGTATAGAAGATCCATTAGAAAGTATGCTCATGGATCGAAAACGTTCTTGAAAGCTACATTTAGTTAAGTAAAAAGTTTCTTAGTGTATTCAACGTATTTTAAGTTGTTACCTAAAATTAATTTATCTGAACATACCGGATTCACCGCATTCTTAGCTGTTACTTTAAATTATTTTTTATAGAAGTACCGGATTCAACACGTTCTTATCTGTCATTCAGAATTAATTCTTGCAATATACCGGATTCAACGCATTTCTAGCTGGAATTTATTGCTACATAAAATCAACCACAAAGTTGGTTTAAGAATTAAATTTGGTCATCAAAAGTTCATAGGTTGAAACGGAATTTTGCTTTGGTAATCCGGAATGTTCTTAGCTTTTTAACTAATAATATTTAGTAGAAATCAAAGAATTCAATACATAAAAAGAAACACAACTGCTACCAGATCGCGTTATGGTCAAGAATATTTGAAGAGCTACGTAACGCACTTACCCCCCCCCCCCACCAAAAAAAAAAGAAGAAGAAGAAAAAACAGGGTAAAAACATAACGTATTTGATGGGTATACATATTTTCATAATTGTTATTATTGGCATATTAATTTTATTTTTACGTTTCAGCTATTAAATGTGTTGTCATTTACAGCTATAGTCTTGAGGAACACTCACGCGCTCATAGTTTTGGCCCTTAACATCAGGCAAACTGAAAATAAACAATTTTGATGGAAGTCTTTCTTATATAAATATTCAATCAAAATATTTTTATTATGTTTGCTAATGAGCATGTGTAGTGATTTAATGGTGAAGGATAAGTATTTAAATTCGACATTGAGTGAAGATATGAGAGTTCAGTATTTAGTTTTAAATGTTACATTAGGTAATTCCTTCAAATGTATTTGATTACTTTGACGTGTTATATGTTTCAAATATCTGATATGAGACTTCGTTCAAAGCTAATGCAGTATTCTTAAGATTACATGTAACGTGAAATGCTTGCTGGATGAGGCGCGTGCTCATGTTAATGGTATGATCCAACAAGGTGGCGCTCGTACTTGGTGCTATGAGCTGTTTGAGAAGAAATAAGCATTGTGCCGCGAAAACTGATGTGAGTAGCGTGTGTATTGTAGCGTCCTCTCACTGCAACGAGTCTATTCCTCGTGACATTTGATTGAACGTGTCTTTTCAATATGGCGCCTAATAAAGAGACAGCTGTAAGAGTGTCGCGAGCCTTTCCTGAGAGAGTGTGAGGGATATTCTGTCTTCCTGTATTACGATTTACTTGGTGAAGCGAGTGTCTGGATACACTTCGAGCAGCCACCAATAATGGGTTCCTAAAGTTCTACATGTCGCAGGTGCACGGACTAGGTAAGTAGAAAGTCTATGTAACAGTGTTCATTGTAAAATGTAATGGTAAGATTCATACCATCAATGGCTGTTTAGTATTTTATTGGCAGTCGTTTATTTCATGTAAACGTCAAAAGTATAGGATCACTAGAAGAAGAACTTCAAGGCATGTAATCTACATAAAGTGCTTTGTAATCCCAATCGTTCTCAGTATTTCAATATTAACTGAATGAATTTCAGACTGACTTACATCAATAAAAAATTTTAAACAATACAATTAAGCTCCTATACCAGGAATCGGATAAGAGCTGTTCTTATGATAATCCAAGCTTGGACAATATTTTTTTTCTTCTTTAGTATATAGAATATGTCATTCAAACGCTCATTGTTGCTCTAGAGAAGAAGTACATTTCTTATTCATAGACTTACTATTGTTGAAATTACAACAATTTTACAAAAAATAAATA